CTCATCGAAATTCTAAAATAAAATTCGCTGAGTGAACGCTGGTTTCCAGAGTTTCGCTGGTGAACGAAGTACTATTCAAAAAGTCACGAGATTATTACTAGACAATAATAAAGAAAAAAAAAAGTTTATCACGATTCTTATGATGATTGCACATTTTTAATCCATAAATTTATTCGTAACTTGTTTTCCTAAGTTGAATTCGGGGTTGTCGGAAATAGAGCGAAATGAATCTCACTTTTAATGCACGAGTAATTAAGGGCGAGACGCTGTTTCAGTGGAATTGGACAAAATACGTGAAGGCCGTGTTCGAGAACACAAATGTCACGATAAATCCGACCGTGGATCGGATTATCATCGTGGACTTGAAGTATTTGCAGCAATTGCCGCTTCTGCTATCCGTCACTCCATCCGCTACGATAGGTACGTCCAATTTCGGCACCCTCGTCAAACCGAGCACGATTGACACTTGGGGTAATGTGTGCTCCAATCTGCAGCGTATATTGTTGCTTTTCCACTTGCGTCCATTTACGTCCGCTGTGTAAGAGAAAAGAGAGAGAGAGAGAGAGAGAGAGAGAGAGAGAAAGAGAACTACGTAATGCGGAAGCATTCTCTTTGCGCCCATACATATATATTCGAACAATTTGCAACAATCCATCAAATAAGTTGACGTTATTTCTCGATATTTTGACAAAATAACATTAAAGCTTGTCTGCTAAGGTGGTTTTATGAAATCTTTTCTCCCATGAAATAATTGAATCCTAAAGTGAATAACTTTGGCTCAAAATTGGGATGATTTTGGATATGCATATCGTGTAGGCATTTTTTAAATTTGAATCAAAGTCCCGAATAGGTAGTTAAGTTACTCTACGATAACTGAAATGACAAGTAATAAAATTTGGGGAATTTGGGGGAATTATTAATATTTCAGATTGATTGCGTTGAAAGCCCGACAACCATATCGGTACGCAATTATCATTTCTGAAATTAATTCATTTAAACGAATATATATAGTAGTTAAACATCTTAACATTCAGACCGGAATGGCGCTTTCGTATCTAAGTAATGTATTTAACATAAACGGTCTTGTTTCCAATCATATTCTTCTTTATTTACAAGTTTGTCCTCGAGTATTAAAGATTGTTGTTGCAATGAAGACTTATTGGAAGTGTCGATAATCCATGATAGGTAATATAGGATGTTTCTACAACCAGAGATACAATAGAAAACGAATAGCGAGAAGAGGTCACCGAGATCGAAAGCTATCGGAAGCTGCACCGTATCTGCAATAATTATAAGTCGCGATTGTTTCACTGCGTTAAAATCATCGGTATATACAATATAATAACAATAATACATCAGTATTAAGACAGTCGGTGATTAATAACGTGCCGATAAATAATGTTAACATCGAGTCGATTTTTATAGTGCGATACGTCTGGTGGAGTGTGTACGCGACCGTTGCCCCTTTGACGCTGCAGAAGTTTCGCGATCTCGGCTTCCAGTTCTGGCAGAAGATCTTCGGCTTAAAGGAGAAGACCCCGCGCTGGAAGGAATGCACCGGGAATGCCAACACGAACTTTGGCATGGCGTTGAGCTACATTTATGCGCAGAAACACTTTAATGAACAAGCACGAGAAAAGGTTCGCACATGCGGCGATTAGTATTTTTCAAGTATTGGAAAGATAAGTCGGCAAACTGCAGCCTATTATCTGTTTTAAATATAATAACTGTATTGATTTTATTTTATTATTATGTAATCTGTTTATATTTTATTTTATATTAGTATTCATAATTTTTATGTCATTATTATATTTTGTTATTTTAAGTTATAATCTACTTTCTTATTGTATAGTATAACTATTATAATATCTTCATCTCGATCTTTATATATAGTTTGCAAAACTTGTATCACTATCTAATCCCTTTTTTTTCTATCTGGAGAAAGTTTGCCGATCTTTAATCTATGAGATACTGATAGATGAGATAAAAGCGCGGAACTCGGACTCAGTATCCGTTATCCAATTTGCTAGCGTTTATACTGATATAACGATGATTCACTATCATTCATTGAGAATAGGCGTTGGAGATGCTACTGGATATTAGGGCTGCGTTCGATGAGATGGTCACGGAGCTAGATTGGATGGACGCCGGGACGAGAGCTCGAGCTCATAAAAAATTGCACGCGATGAGGCCATTCGTAGGATTTCCCGATTGGATTACGAATCCAAAGGAATTGGACAAATTTTACGAAGGAGTGAGTTTTCCCGAATTCTATGTTTATCTATAATCACAAATACATGTATATCTTAGCTCAGCTGCGGAAACTGCAATGTCTGTTTAGGTAGAGGTGATCGATGGGAAGCTATTCGAGACTTTGCTCAAGCTAACTAATGTGGCGATGAAAAAGAGTCTCAATAATTTGCGCGAGAAGCCTGACAGAAGTAGATGGATATCGTCGGGCACGACAGTAAACGCATTTTACAGCGCGATATTAAACTCAGTCAGTAAGTGTCTTAATACCAATTTTCTAATTAATTGAATCCATCGTCGTCACTTTATAAAAATACTAATTTAACTTTATTATTCAAAATTTAAGAGAAATACGAGATCTCTCTTTTTTTTTAGCTTTTCCAGCTGGTATCTTACATCCCCCATTTTACGGCAACGGACTGGAGTACGTATGAACTTATATTTTATAGCTAAGGTCAAATTGTCATCTACTCATATTTTATTCGATCACTTCTTTATACATAATATGTATAGTCCTAATTCTTTTTGTACGCAAGAAGATTCTAATATTTTACATCACATTAAAAAATCTGTATTATATTATAGATTTTTAAATGTGTAAAATTCACAAAAATTATATTATTAATAATAAAATTATTATTGATAATAAAATTTCCACTGATTAGAAATGTTAATATTTAATTATTGTGTTGTACAATTTACTTGTTAATGTGCTGTGGATTCTAATTAAAAACGTAAAGATGTGAACACACATATACATATACGCATGGAAATGAAATTCTTTATCATAACCGTTAAACTTTAACATTTCGCATTGCAGATCCATAAATTATGGCGCTATAGGGGCAATTATGGGCCACGAGCTTACGCATGGTTTCGACGATCAAGGTGTGTAATCAATGACACGATTATTTACGTTGCACAATATCGTTAAAACGGTCATTCGTATGCCTCTACCTCTTCAATATTACAATGCCCGCATATCCTCATTAATATCTAGAATTATGCGAATTTTCTGTGTTAGGTCGCCGGTACGACGAGAATGGCAATGTACGACAGTGGTGGAGCGATGAGACATTGCGACACTATCATGAAAAAGTGCAGTGTATAATCGAACAATATAGCAGTTATCATTTACCGGAGCTGGGCGATAATTTTACGGTAAGCATCTCGCGATATGTCTTGGTGGTTTAAAAATATCAAGAAGTGTGTCAAGGTGTCGATCATGCTTAACTATTCGACTTACCTTCTGATTTTCAGGTGAACGGCATCAATACGCAGGGTGAAAATATCGCTGATAACGGCGGCATCAGGGAAGCTTACAGGGCGTATCAAAGACTAATTGCACGCAGTCCGAATCAGCAAGCTCTGCCTGGTCTAGTTGACTACAGCAACGAGCAACTGTTCTTCTTGGGTTTTGCACAGGTAAAATGAAAAGAAAAAATAAAGCTTGCACTTCTCAATTCTGTAAAAGTAATATAATTAATTTTTGTTCAACAAATTATCAAATTTTCAACGTTTGGTAAAAAAATCATACAATCAGATTACCTTCTTCTTCTAAGAAAATCATTTACTTAATAAAATTAAATTACTAAATGGAGTTAAATGGATTTTTTAAATAATAATATTCGATATATGTATATTACTAATGTGTATAAAAATTTTCCTGCTGGATTACTTGCATGATATTGTGCTGACGATTTTACTGACTGCTATGTTGAAAATTGTGTAGCCTGCTAGTCACACGGCTGCTATCAGAACATAGCTTTAGTTCAAAATATTATCTTCGCAATAGTTAAAAACAACGTAATTATACTTTTACAATGATACACCATAGCAATAATCTGCTCTATTTTATTCGAATTTTATAATTCGAATATTATCAAGTGCCTTCTGTCACACGAAAAATAGTTTGAAGCCAGCAGCCTTGCCAGAAGGTAGCAAGCACGCAGTACAGCAGAAAAAAAGCATTGTGTATTATAGGCTTAAAAATGAAAAAAAAAAAAGAATAAAATAAAAGAAATAAAAATATCTTATATATTATTATTTAAATACATTATAAAAACTTTATATATATATATATGTATGTATGTATAATTGAGATTAGAGGAGAAATTTAGAATCATTGAAATAGCGATTTTTTTCTTTTGTCAAACTAATAAAAAATTAATTAAATATAATGAAGATCCACACACATTTTGATATAATGATATAAATTAAACTCTCAAAGAGCTTTACACGCAAAAAATTACAAAAATTTCATAATTTTTTCTTATGTACAAAGCTTCAAAGAACTAAGACACTAATTTTTTTTCAAGGTCTGGTGCGGCAATTATACGAATGGATCATTGAAGTCCAAGGTGATAGAGGGCGTCCACGCACCAAATCACTTTCGAGTTATCGGTACGCTGTCGAACAACGCCGAGTTCGCAAAGGCCTGGAAGTGTCCGCTTGGTAGTCCAATGAACCCGTCGCATAAGTGCATTTTGTGGTAGACATCTTTCGCATAATTTCGAGCAGAACATAACGACGCCTAGAAACTGTTATCTCGTTCAGGCTTAATCTTTCTAGTACAGAAGGAGACGTTGGTACAGTGATAAGTCTAAGAAATTGTAAATAGATTGATTTATAATTATAGGAACTAGTGAGTATAATTTATTAAGCACTTAGGCGTTCTATTCATACTCGTAAGCTTATGATGTAAATATCACACGGATGAAAAAAAATAATAACTTTTATAAAGAGACTCCTCTCACAATTGAATCCTAATTTATCCTGTTATTTTCTTCTTTTTCTTTTTTGGTACAACTCCTTTCCCCGAATTTGCTTTTTTCTTTATCTTTCTAGGTGGAGCGTCTTCATCTGTCATTGATAATTTTACTTTGTGTTTTTTGCGAGAGAAAGATGGTTCTTCAATTTTATTCGACTTTTTAATCTTCTTCACTGACGAAGTGATGTGCGATGCAGAATTCTCTTTCCGTTTTTTATTAGAAGGATTTGTTTCGTTCGCTTTTAAGAATTTCTTTTTCTTCTTAGGTTTATCGATAACATCTTCCATCTGTGACGACCTATCCCTCTTCTTCTTTGAAACGACAGCCTCTTTTACTTTTAGAACTTTCTTCTTTGAATGCTGAATATTATCTTGAGCATCTTCCAGAGTTCTCTTCTTTTTATATTTCTTTTCTTGCGTTCTTTCTTTAGGATTTCTAATATTTGCGACTAAATCCTCTTCATTTTCAATAATAATAACTTCCTGCTTCAATCTGAGCCTATTCGTCTTTTTTATTTCCTTTTCTTCGTCCGATTTAACTTCTTCCTTCTGCACTAAATCTTTGTATGTTTGTGCTAAAGACAGGCAAGTAATTCTGGCACCACAATTAACGGTTTGCAACATATCCAAACTATGTCTGTTATATCTCCAAAGTTTGATCTCTCCGGAACTAGAGGCGCTAACCAACAGATCATTCATATGTGCGATACATTTCACTCTCATGCTATGCGCCTTCGTATTCATTGTATGCAGAGAGGTTCTAAGATCACAAAACTTTATATCCCCGTTCTCGAAACCGACTGCGATTAAATCGTCCTTCAAGAACTCAACGCAAATAACTTTCGAGTCAAATGTGAGTTCCTTATCTATTCCAGCCGATTCTACAGAATAAATATAGATACTTCCATTGACAGCTATCAGATATTTTTCACCGTTCGGACTCCATTTAATAATAGTTATCCATTTAGCGCTAGATTTCAGTTTGGATACCAAGTTAATGGCATAAGCTGGTCTGCCCTTGATTAGATTCCATGTCCTAAGCACGCCGTCTTCTCCAGTGGACAGAGCTAGCTTCCCTGTCGGATGAATAGCCAGAGTATTGACAGCTGAGCCCTTGTGTGCGGTCGGCCAGACTTTCTCTAGTTGCCAATTGCCACAACGAACAGCAGTTATACTTCCGTCATTACTGCAAGCGAATAAATGCGAGCCTTCTGGAGTAAATGCAATGCAATTGATAGTATCTACAAAAAAATATATAAAGATCGTTATTATTTTTGTAATAGAAATTTACATTATATAATATTGTATAGAATAAACAAGGTAAGACAAGTAATGCATTATATTTGTAACGCATTATCATTAATGTTACTTTTTTATAATAATCATTTGATATAGGTACAATTTTTCATGATAGCAACGATAACATCAAAGTTGAAACAGTCACTTTTAAAAAGTAATTCATTATTTCATTCATTATGTAGGGAGTTATTTTTTTTTCTTTCCGTAAATAACACATTATCATTATCGTCATGAAAAATTTTATTATTATTACCAAATTGTTATTATAAAAAAATAATTGTAATGATGTTACAAGTAACATATTACTTCTCTAAGAATAAATACTAAATATGTTTATCTACATACCTTTATGATGCATTAATTTGCCAGACTCTTGTCTGTAACGCATATCGTATAGACATACCGTTTCATCGGCACCAGCTGAAGCTAGATAGTATTTACTACTGGCGACAGCACGTATACTTGAAACATGGCTGTGAGTTGCAAAGCTTTTCTCTATTTTATACTCCTGACAGAAGGACAAAAAATAGAATTTGTATTTAAAATATTTAAAGAGAGAGAGAGAGTGAGCGAGAGAGAGAGAGAGAGAGAGAGAGAGAGAGAGAACTTAACATTTCCTCATTTAAAATAGAAATTTTTATTACAAGATATACTTTCTTCTCTAGAACATCTTGAATGATAATATCTTATAAAATAACAAATATAAAAATATACAAATATCTAAATATAAATGTTAGAAGCATATTTTCCTTGAAATTTATACTTGGGTTGCATGACTCACGAACTTAACCTGTACACAAGACACGTGACGAAATATAACTTACATTTACGATGTTGTGCACTTTGTAGCCAAGTAAATATTGCTCATACGTTCCTACTATAATTTCAAACGGATTCAGCAATCTCGCGTCTGAATGCATCTTTTTTCAGCGTTTTATTCGTATTACATCAGTGGAGCACAATAGAAAGAGTACCTGCACCTTGCACGTGTGTCGAATATGTGAAATATGTCTATAGTCTGTGTATGGGGCTAGTGAACTTCAAACGAACGTGATTGGATTCCATTGCAGACGATCCGTTTCGCCCGCGGAACTTTGAAACTTTTTTCCGCATTTTATTCAAGTGGATAATCACTGTAGTCAGTAATCGCTGGTTAAAGTCAAGTTGAAAAAAAAAATGTAAATTTATAACTTTTTTTTCAATTTTAATATAAAGTGCTCCACTGCAGCACTTCCCATTTTCGCGTTTACTTTAATCCTATAAAAGGATTTTTTATTCCATTCAGTAAATTCGGAGATTCATATCGATCTAAAATGTCCCGATAATTTGATCACTTTAGCATCCTAGCATTAAGTCCCTGATAGTTCGAAATTTTTAACAAATAACTTTTTCTTTCTTTACAGGTTTCCCAGGACAAAATCAATACTGGATTGATAATTCGGTACCAAGGTAAGCATCATTTATTTTCCTTTGCTCTAACATTAATCTTTTATTTTCTTTTCTTTTCTTTTCCAGGTCAACGCTGATATTATTCTGGATTGATTTTTAGGCTTTTAAGAGGGTTAAGATAGGTAAATTATCATCTATCAGTTTTTTTTATCACAGAATCATTTTTTTTACAAAATACATGTATTTCTTATCTTTAATGTAATATTTTAATTATCGATTTTTTTGCATAAAATATAAAACTACTTTAACTTAATACTTTCAATAATAACAAGAATACTAATGTCAATACGATAATATTCATAATAAGAATCAATAAAATAAAAAATAAATATAAGATTTCTCATCTTCAACATAAATTTATCATGGACGTTTTATAATTCTAATACTCTAAAAATAAAACAACCAATTGAGATCAGTCTTGTTGTGACATTTGTCTTTTGTCAAAATCTCCTCAGGTATTCATCCGCCTAGTTTAGGCTCGTACTACTATAGGCGAATTTACCTTCAAAGAAGAGAATCATCAGAAAATCAGAAAGTTACGAACATCAATGAAGAGGAAAATCGATTACGCATAAAAAGAATTTCATATGCCGAAAACGAGACCACAACGGAGAGTGAATTAAAAGTAAGTAATAACGTAGCAATGTCCAACTCTTATCCAACACGTCAGCTTCTATGAAAGGAAGTTTACCTTTTCTGTTTAGAAAAAGTTTCTTTTTTTTCTTCTTTAATTCTTTGGGTACCCTCAGTCCTTTTCTTGATCGTTTTTCTGTACTTATCTTAAAATTTAAAGGCTAATGAGGGTTTTTTTAATAATAATGTTGTATGCAAAATTTTACTGAATCCATTGAATCAGATATTGGACTTACTTACGTTGTTGTAATTTGTTGATCTTGAATTTCTTGGTTTTCTATTGCTCTATTTATTATTACAACAAAATAAGAAAATCTTTCTTTAGATTGATTAGTCTAAAAATTATCTTTTACGTTTTGTCGTAACTCTTCTTGCGTCAAATGTGACAGGATTTTGACTGGTATGTCATTACGTAAAATGCTATTTATCATCATTTTATTATTTTGCAACGTTAAGAGAATTTTAATGTTTCTTCATTTTGTCTTTATTAATCAAGTGTTTTATTTTTATAGTTAGAGTTACGTAGTTCCTTATCGGCTTTCCATCTTTGTCTAGTATTGTGGTGCTTTCATTATATGTTTTTTTTCAGTTTCTCTATGTCCTATAACAGTTTGTCCATTTTCTGTTGATATTTTTGTATTATTAATTCCATTTTCTCATCTAATGAGTTTCAAGTCTGTCTGTAAATGGTATGGTTTCTTGAAATATCTTCTTAATTTTTCTGATCCTTTCTATTCTTTTCAATATTATGTCTCGTGTTCGTCTGTTCAGTATTTCAATAAACAATCTCTTTTCTTCTTGTATAACATCTTCTAGACTATTAAATTCTCCTAGGTCTTTCTTTGTCACCATTCTTCTATCTTGTCACACTGTTAGACACTTATATTGCATATTTTTCTTAATCTTTCCGCCGTTTGCTTGTTGTGACTAAGAATTATTTAACAATAAGGATCCATAACACAACGTAACGTACCATAATAAAAGTTGCAATGGCTGCGTTCAATAGAACATTTATTTTGTAAACGACCGTGAATGGTCAATTTTCAGCTTTTAACTTCTGATTTATGACTAACTGCTTATTGTAGAATGCATGTTATGGCACATAACATTTAAGCACAACGCATAACGTATAAGAAAATCAACTAATCTGAATCTTTCCTTTCCTTCCACTTCACGGAAAAGAAGAACTTTTAATTCTCGATAGATTCCGTTAATTTTTCCGTTGATCCTTACATATATATTTTATATAAGCTTAAATTTATTTGAAATATTATTAAAATATAGACTAAATATTTTACATAATATTTATGATAAATATAAATATAAACATCATATCTTAAATATTTCGATTCAACAAAGAATATATATCGTATTATTTGAAACATTTAAAATCTTTGATCGTTCTCTATCATATTTATGTTCTCATTTACACGGTCGTTCGTTAATTTTATAAGTATATTAATATTTCTCTTATATTTTGTAAATATTTTATAAATATTGCGTGCTGTCTGGAATGTCCATTTTGAAATTTTCTAATACTAATATCAATCATTCGTATTATCTCGTGGTGTATGTATATACATCTGATGCCGCATTATAAATTGAAATGTGCACTTTCCGTATGCGTGGATATATACAGGGTTGGATACGAATGTTAATATTTTGAATATTTGTCATCAATTGGTAAAGGATGTAAAAGTCAAGTGTTTACGTATTTACTTCTGCATCGTTATGTAAGTGATTCGTTAGTACAAATCTAATCTAAAAATTAATCGCATTTACCTCAATATCTTCGAGCATGTTCATTCCTTAAACTATATTTTTAATATTATATACTTGAAAATAAAGACGTTCTATTTACCATGACATTAATAGCTACATCATGCTTAATTAACTGTGTATATTTCCAGATTTTGCTTCTTATTGCATTAATTATTTAATATGAATATAATTAATATTTAATATTCTCAAGAGGGTATCTTATTAATGCATCTTATTAATGTAGAGGATATAAAAAAAGGCGATTGAAAGAAATCATGCTCGATTGATTGGTCGCAATTAGTTATTCCACATCGCGAAAGAATGACTTTGTTGAAGTATCTAAAACTTTAAGTAGATATAGATCTGAAAATAATTTTGTTGGATTATATCAAAATAATTATATGGGAATTCAAGTATGAGCAATGCTGCAAAAAAAATTTATGATCATTCTAACAAGTTTGATCGCTTCTTAATTATTTTAATAGAAACAACAATATTAGTTTCAGATCTGTGTATCTAGCTAAATTTTTTCATACTTCTATAAATGTTCTTTCCATGACGTAAATCTATATCATTTGAAGTATTTTATATGCACCTACGTCCCTGCATTTACTCCCCGCGTTACTTGACAGGGAGACACGTTTGTTCTGCTTGGCGGAAATTTTAGTCGTTTAGTTATAGTCTTTCCGATCTATCGCGTGGTAAATTCTCAACCGATTCTCTAACGGCAACAAAATGAGATTACCGCTCTGTTCGTCGATGCTACTTTTCGTTCTTCTCGGAATTTCAACAGGGATTCGTCTCAATGCGGACGTCTTCGTCGATTTGATATTGGATGTCCGAAAATTTTACTCCGCAGCATCCGTTATTTTTGTTCATCCTGGAGACATGTATGGAGATTATGGGGGTCAGTTTATATTAAAGTATCTTTCAAAAGCGATAGTATTATTATTACTAGAATATATAGAGATGGGCGCGTATCAATACACCAAAAATTGTTTGGAAATTGTCTTTCAGATGAAAAAGGAACGTTTTTTTTACACAAAGATTCGTTTGAAATAGCCTCAAAGACAATTTCTTCTCGGAAATTTTGTAAGTTATCGTTTAAAAATTATTTTTAAGACTATTTTTAAACTGATTTTTTTTATTAAAAAAAATCTTTTCTTTTTCACTTGAAGGACAATTTCCAAACGATTTTGAGTGTATCGATATGCATATTGCCCATTCCTAATTAACAGCATTATATAGTTTAAATGAAAATAAATTGAAGATAATCTTGTTAATTCAGTATATGTGTATCATGCCATACTCTTGTATTAATAAAATAATTATATGTTTCATTAATCCCAGACTGCACACAAAATTTAAGGTAATTCGCCGCCTAATATATAAATTATTAAATATATAAATGTATAAATATTTACGCCGCGCGAGGATTTATGCCACAGGAGCCAGAAAAAAATAGAAGTGGGGTAATGTGCACGCAACCACTCTGTTATATGCTTTTATATTACATTAGTACTTTGTTATGATTTCAGTTTTTTACTGTTTGTATTAATAAAATTACTGTCAGTTGAATCGATTTGTTAATGTAGTAAATAGCGCAATCATATATCATAACTCACATAAAATGATTGCACTGTAGGAATTGCAAAAGGCTTAATGGTTATTGGGTGATACATAAATGTAGATAGACAGTAAAAAATGAAGTATAGCAAAATACAAGTGCTTAGCTTTTATATTCTTTGCTCAGCTTGATATCTTGTATATTCTATTTGAGAGATATGGCATTTTCAGCCGACAGAATTTATGCCCAAGACATACAAAGCTAAACCTATATTATTGAAAATTAAGTATAAAATTTTTATGTATAAAATATTAGATATTATTTTCAAAAAGTAAATAGAAATAAATATATATGAATATTTATTATAAATATTTGTGCTGTCTGGAATTGTAACTGTCTGCATGTGTATGGTGTTATGTATGTGACACTGTGTGAATTAATAAGATTATTTATAATTAGATTGTATGCTGTTACTACAGCATTATTTATGAATGGTAACATGTGTTGCCTTAGCGAATTTTGTCCAAGACAATAGAATTACGCTACAGAATTATTATTGTTATTATAAATATATAATAAAAAATATCGCATATGATTAAATGTAAGACTATAGTGTATCCTAATGGATACTATGTTAAATAACATGTATTTTTTTATTGTTATCTATCCATTTATATTATTTAAAATTTGACATTAAGCATTTATTTTTTCATAAGCATTTAAGAAACTTTTGATGGCGTCAGTCATCTTGACAGTAAACGTTATTTTAACTGAACAAATGTTTAGTCAATAATCGTTGCAACGTCGATCATCGCGATTAATAGTGCAGTTATTCTTGCACGACTCTAAAAGATTTTTTTATCTTTTCTTTCTATGCCATAAATGGCATAAATTTATAAAATTGTGCAGTCTGCAGATAAAAGTAATAGAGGAAGACGAAGTCACCAAAGCATTTCTACTTCGTTTAAATAATTAGGATTTTTTTTTTTTTTAAGAATTTGAGTTTCTTAAATACATCTAAGCTTGTTGAGCTGATTTTACAAAATTCTCGCTATAGATTTGCGAATCACGCATTTGATACATACGAGCACTCGCTTGCTGAGCCGACGATACATAATGACTGCGGACGTACACTTTAAAAAGTTATGGAGAACCGCGCTTAAATACTACCATCAAGTAACTCAGCCTATTACCGTCGTCATTGTACCCGACTTTGAGGCGTACCTGGAGTTTGCGGATGCCGTTAAGGCCTATCCCATGTCTTTTCCGGTGTGGTTCATTCTGTTTCTCTACACCTCCGACAACAGCACCTATGACCACTGCCGTGAACCGATCGGTAATCCCTTTAATCTAACGTTCGACACGCAGATGTTAGTATTGTGTAACAACGAGACGATCTTGCGGGAATGGTATTCCGTCAAGGGCGATGTCATCAAAATCTTCGACCTGGCGGAATGGAGAGACGATAAAGGATTCATTCCTCTGACGAATCTGTCTCTCTACGAACGGAGGAAAGACATGGAAGGAGTTGTCCTACGAGCGGTCGCGGCCAAGGTGCTCGATAAAATTCAATGTGCTTTTTTCTATATGTATGTTAATATCCTAGTAGCACAGCTTGGTAGACATAACAAAGGATTCATTACGTTTATTTAATTCTCTATAAAGAAGAAAAGAAATATATGCGATAAAGAAAGAGATATCTTGCGTTTGTCGTTATACTTAAGAATGTTTTGTCTATATAATATCAGCTAAAAGTATTAGTCAAATAATAGTAACATAATCATCCAAAAATAGTTAATATCAGCCAATACCATTAAGAAAATTTTGACGATATTAATTAACGATATTAACATAATTCTACAATTCTTACCTTTATAGAAATAATTGTGAAACATTTTCTGTTCAATTAATCGGTATTAAACGAATGCAGAGTTTATTTTCGACGATTGATGGGAATCAGGTGGCTACTATGTACGGAAAAGTGTTGGAGGAGCTCACGAGTTCTCTCAACTTCACCGTGAAGATTGTCTCGCAAATAAACGAACACGGTGTACAGAATCGACAAACTCTCATCTGGTCTGGAGTGATGGGCAAGATTGTATCGGGTCGAGCGGATTTCGCTGTCGCCGACATGTCATTGACGAGTCTTCGAAAGCGTTATGTCGATTTCACACTGCCTTTAATCGTATCTAGAATCAATCTGTATATCAAGGAACCGGGAATATGTGGCGTCAAATGGATCGGCTATTTTCAGGTAATATATAGGATTGATTAACGTTCAAATAATGGATTTAGCTTTATCTTGTTATTGTTGCTTCGAAAATAATAGATGAGAGTTGCTTAAGACATATCGCGGTATACTTATTGGTCATTTAAATCGTATTTTAATTTTTTTCTTATTACTATATAAACAATGATAAATAAAAATATGCGATGAATATAAATATAGAAATTTCGTATACTAATAGATACAAGACCATTGTTTAAATTACTCTTTACATAGGGATGTGCGAATCCAGATTTTTTGATTCCGAATCGAACTGAATCCAATGTTTTTCAAATATAAATCGAACCGAATCGAGTTTAAAAGTTAATTAAAATGAGGTGAAAATTGCAAAAGTAAGCAAATATTCATCAGAATATTTATATTATAATTTTTTATATTTATAATATAATTGGCCACCACCTATAGTGTATGTATATGTATATGTATGTAAATATAAAATAAGATTATCAATCATGTACGTATATATTTGATATTCTTATATTTAAACATCGATATTTATGATTGATTCTTATATGTATGAGAATGTCTTAAGTTCAGTCTTAAGATGTTATCTTAAATTAATAAGAGATCGAGCCGCATTAGCATCTTAAGACTTGAGTTACTTGAGTTTTAAATATAGTTTTAAAATAAGAATCGATTATGTGAATATATCGGCCACAAATTTAAAAGTTTTGAATAGTTCGTATACGAATCATAGTGATTCAAATTCGAATCGAATTGAATGTTATTTAATTCGATTCGATTCAATTCGTATTCAAATAGTTCGCGCATCTTTATAACTTTCACCATGTTGTAAAAAAGACAAATAAATTAATTTGTTCTTGGCAAAAGGTTACATATACAATATAAAGTAATATCTTATCTTGCTATTTTAAATATCAAGCTACAATTTCCAATACTAATTTGCGTGCAAATTAGTATAAAATGAGAAGTACTTATAACATAAAATATCTTGGTATGATTTTGTCAATTTTCATCAATGTGTCGAAACAACTTTTTAAATCAAATTTGATTTGAATTAGTTATTTTAAAATAACTAATTTTTTTAAACTTGTACAATCACGACAGACTTTCAATTTGCGTACGTGGGCTACAATTATCATACTGATAGCGACCGTGCCGTTACTCTTATTCTTTATGAAATCGTACCGTGATCAATCACGGAGCGCCATGGATCTGATCTCTGAGAATTTCATCTGCATTTGGGGTATCTTTTGCCAGCAAGCGCTTATAGGTATTAATATAAAATTTACAACAACTTTCAAAGTAACTAAATTAAATATTTGATTGTATAAAATATTCATAAAATATATGATTTCGTTTTCCTGAAAGAGGATAAGATAAATTAAATTTTAATTAAGTTAAAAGTTAAATTTGATGTTGGACTCTATTTTCTCCTTTTTTGAAAGTTGATTGGAGTTTTAATTAAACTTTTTCCTCTAGAGTTTCCGAAAAATTTATCGCTGCGCGTCGCGTATATTACGATATTTTTGACGGCGATGCTAATAATGGCTCACTATTCAGCAGCGTTAATTTGCTTTCTGACGGTGTGTACTCGCGTTCTGCCTTTTCAAACGCTAGAAGAATTTATCAACGATGGTACCTATAAATTAATCATGCTACGTGGTACTGCTGACTACGAAGTAGTTACCGTAAGTTCTACTACTCAGTGATCAAAGAATTGCGATCCGACATTCACTTTTAAGTGGCTCAGTACACGTTTTGAGCGATTGAAATTATGTCAGACTATTGCATTCGGTAATATGAAATTACCCAGATACCAAAATGTTAGCAAAATGTCGATAGATTGATAACAGATTTGATCAGAAGATGTTAGCAGATTGACCCCAATTAATGTCGCATTCTGCTCCTGTTCTTATATCAATAGTATCTGTTAAACATTCTATATCAACAGATTGATAGCAAAAATCAAACAGAATGCTTGTTGACATTCTATGCCAGCAGATTGGCAGCAGAAACCAAGCAGAATCTTAGAATCTGCTGAGAGAATTTGACAGCAAATTAGTAGCTGAAATCGAGCAGATTCTGTTCTGTTAATAGCATATATAATAAAACATGTTGTATATGTATTTATTTGTATATTTAAGCTTTAATAACACGTAAATTATATTTCATTTCTCAATAAAATTATTTAAAATTATTTCTTCAAAATAGAAAAAAATGTAATAAAATTCATCATCATTTTAAGACATTTTTCAAAGTAATAACATTACAATTTTAATACCTACAAAACAGCAAGATCTATCCGATTTCTACCGTCAATCTGTCGTCAATCAAATCAAATAGTGTTGCGCAATTCCTGCTTAGTTTCTGCTGTCAACCTATCAGAGTCAACAGATTCTGCTTGATTTCTACTGCAAATCTGTTGACATAGAATGTTATCTCATGTGCTACCGTCAGAACGGAATCAGAATGCGACATTAATTGAGGTCAGTCTGCTAATTTTCTCTTTAAATCTGTTGTGCCAATCTGCCGACATTCTGCTAACATTTTGCATTTTTACGGAGCAGTTTCTGTTTGAAATTTGTTGCTTTTCTAGCATCAGAAATCATATAATAGACTGTTCAAATTCTGCGGACTTGGGTATCTGAGTACGGTCACATAATATCTACCGTGGTTTCATTATGTTAATATATGGAGCAATAAATGATTAATATATTACAAGATGTTTTCGTCACAGTTTCAGGCGCAGCACGAGGCAAAACTTTTCTATGTAAAGCTGATGAAATTAATGAAGGACGAATCGGAATTGCCGAGAAATCTAGAAGAAGGCTTCATGCAAGTACGACCGATAATCTATATTTTTTCGTGAGACATCAAGACGAATGTAATACGAATCAATTTTAATAATATATTTTTATATGTTTATTATCTTTTATTTCTATGAAATTACTTTCTTCTTCTAATTAATATAATTATTTAAGCGTATTCGTGCTTGAAAAGTTTTTTATTGAATCAATTATCTGCTGCTTGTTCAGGTATGTAATGAGAAAAATATTGCCTTTATGGTGCTGAGTGCTCGAAAGAAAAGCGTAGAAAAGGAGATACCCTGTAAGTTGTCGAGTATTACTACCGAGAGAATAGACAATTTAGCAATGGTCCTCTCCAAGAATAATCCGTACACAGGCGTGATAAATTATCAGTGGGTATATATATCGCGAAAAACTTCCTTTTTGTATTTATAATCTTTCCTTTAGATTATAAAAATATCGCGTATATTAGTTTGCAGAAATTTTTGGACAATGGTATGATAATGCGTCTGAGGGAAACATATTCGCCACAGTTGGCTGAAAACAAGATTTACAAGCCAGTTTATTTGTTTAACATCGTCCCAATTTTGGCAATTCTCTGCGGAGGTTTTATTATAAGCATCATGATAATGATTATAGAGAAAATTCATTATCGATCGAGAAAGAAATTTCAATCAAGAGTATTTTCTTCCAGAAAGCTATTTGTCAAGAAATATAATAATTGAGATAAAACTTAATCACAATTTAATTCACTAAATATCAAGAGATCTTTTTAACGAGAGAATTTCTTCATCATCTTTCTTTCTGTATAAGTAAAAATTTTTTTTTATGCGTGTATGTATGCGTGTTTGTGTGTGCTTGTAAATTTGTCACAGTTGATTATTATTTAAAGTTTTTCCGGTAAAAGTTTAAATTAGGGGGACTCCGCTCCGATAATTTTGATCTTGATACACGTTGCGTCCTTTTACTCGTAATATATTTAAATAGATATTAATATTTTTGTATTTTATTTAGATTTGATGATAATATGATTACAATGTAAATGGCGTATACGATTATGTCGCTGCGCTTGACTCATCGCCGAGACACATTATCGTGTCTCTAAATTAAAATTATTCTATTATGAGTTAAATTTATGATGTGCTAACACTGAACTAAAATAAAAATTAAGACATCTTTCTCACGAAAGAAAATAATAGAAGCTTTCTAAAGCTATATTTTACTTTAAGCATTCCTTTACATGCTTATTAAAAATTATTTTTGTTATTAAAATTGTTCAAAATATCCGCTTTACAGATAAAATAAATAATACATCAAATTGTCGAGATTTATCAAGACGATATCTTTTTCTGCTCAGCGTCACATTTCTTTTACGGGATGTGCACGCGTTTGCATTGATCGTTATATGCATATCGAGCTGAAAATTAACGCCAGATAACAAAAAGTCCGAAATCGAGACATAAGTTTTAAAGGTCTTTTAGACGTCTTTTTAAAAAAATGTCTTTAAGAGTATCTTAAAGACGATTAGCTATATTGAAAATATAGCACTTACACATAGACGATTTACGTGTCATTGACATATCACTACATCAATATCTCACTCACGCACGCCACACACATACAAATAAATTTTCGTATTACAATTACGTTTTAATTAGACATCTAATGCCCATTTCCACCAACGTAGATTAACTTTAATCTCGGTTCAACTTACTCTTCGTCTTTTTCTAATTTTTAGAACTAGAAAAAGACGAAGAGTAAGTTGAACCGAGATTAAAGTTAATCTACATTGGTGGAAACGAGTCCAATTTTTAAAATTCTACGTTATTTCTCCATGTAAATTATTAATCTGTGGATTACTATTTTTAAGTACAGATTGCACAGCTTTTATATGAAGCAAATGTTCCCGTATAACATGGAGTCTACAATAGAAATCGTATCTATCGTAGGGTATTAAGTCTTAGGAAATTGATCAATCATGCATAATCGATTATTCTTCTCATATTCGACTGTGATTAGTTAATTTTCTACGACTTAAGACCTTACGACCGCTACGACTTCTATAGACCCTGTATAAAGCCTTTCATGCGCACATTGACAAAATTGAACGATTTCAAAGCGCTGCGCAACAGTAGTGCAGTCCATGCATTTCATGCGCAATTCGGAACGCACTTCTTGTCTACTTTTATGCATCATGCGAGGAGTTTAACGACGATGAATAATTCATCAGTCTAATCGATGATTTTTACCGATAAAAAAGTCATATCGTCACATATATCTCTATATAATTTGTAATAATGCTGTCGCACATCATCTGGCAGTGACACTCTTTGCGCCCATTTCTACATTCTCGAAGTCGATAATCCCCGTTTATAATAACCGCTCTTCAGTGTGTTCGCACTCTTGAGAAAATCACAGTATCCTCATTTCTTTCTTTAATCTTTAAGCAGCAATAGTCACGCTTTTTAAAAAATTCCGCAATTCGTTATGTTATCTTTAATAAGATTTTAGAATTAAAATATCGACAATTTCGTTATGCTTCTCTCTAGTCTCATATTTGTTTTAATTTCGACGATAAATAATTTCTCGCTTTGAATTCATCGTTAATTATTTATCGTACAATTGTACGAAATAGATTTTTATTTTTTTTTACACAGTACTCATTTATTCAAGATCTTAATTTAAACTTGTACATTGCGAAATGAAATATATGATAGTGAGATTGAATCGCGTTACCCTCCTTCGTGTTAAACATCCGTTAAAAAGAAACAGATATTAACAATGATTTCTGACTAATCAACGATCATATATCCACAGATATTATCGCACATTATGTGTCGTTTTCGTGCGGTTTGAAAATTACGTTAAGTACCGGGAACAATTTCCAACTATCATTTCTCATATTACACATCAATCAGCTAGTGAAAAAAGTTTTCGCGAACTTTCAAACAAATATTGAATCATAATTACACTTGTAAATTGTTTTAGTTTTACCGATCGTTAAGTTGTAATTATGTAAAAAATAAGCCATTTTTAGATTTTCTTTTAATATCAAAATATATAGGATAAATTCTACACTAATGCCTGTTTCTATCAATGTAGTTTAATTTTTTAATATTAGTTCAATCAATTTTTTATCTTTTTTTAGATTTAAAAATTAAAAAAAGATAAAAAGTATAGATAAACTGAGATTAACATTAATCTATATTGAAACGGACAAATATTTTTCTTCTGAAATGTTTTGAGCAATGTAAACGTGCAAGATAACAGCCTTGATCGAAACTATAAAAATGAACCGACGTACATATATGTATAATAATTACGGAACGTGATAAAGAAAAGTAGTATAACATTCTGGAATTTATAATTTCAATAATTTTTTGACATCTTTTTACTAATATTTTCTAGTTATTCAAAAATCGTTAATTTGTTTTCTGCTTGATCCAAATATTAATTTAAATGACATTAAATGAATCATAATTGATTGACTTTTAGTAATCATTTGAAGTCATTTTGACGTTATGATGATTTGTGTTCTGCTTGTCTATTGTTAAATTTAAATGTTAATAATTATAATGTCTGCAATGTTCACGAAATGTTAGTATTTAACGATGTGTCAATAAGACACACAGAAATAACCTGCAAATCTCTTTCTCTCTCGCGCCAGATGAAAATATTTGTGGAACTCTCAAAAGAATGATATTACAATATTAACGTTTAAATATTGTATGTCCAATTAATTATCTGCATGTCATTATTTGCAACAACTGCAACAAAGTGTAAGCTAGATTTTTCCACTTTATGTGGAAAATAACTTTTTTCATTATCGTCTTCAGATATTGATATGTAATATCTCGTGATTTAACTTACGTCGTGATTTAACGACACAAATATTTACGTAAGATGATAAGAGGCAAGCGATATGTTTATATCGCTTCTTTAGGACATAACTTCGAATATTGTTCAGTCAGTTTCGTGTTGTCATACTGTCGTTTTAAAAGTACTCAGTACATTTAGAAAAATGTTAAACGCCAAAATCATCGCTGTCGATGTACAGGATATAAGATTTCCGACATCGTTAAATCGAGATGGAAGTGACGCAATGGTACGCATTATTAAAAAATTTGATATGTTCGCTATTAGTTCATTATTTTGATAAATCAGAAAGAGAATATTCGTAAATATATCCATATTAATACGCTAAGCATTACTCACGCATATTAATTTACGCTAATAGTCGTTATAAATAATCGTTATTACGTAAATTAATAAAATAAATATTAATTTTCATTAATAGTAAATAATAACATTAATAATAATAAGCAATATATTAATAATCATTTACTTAGAATAATGTTTTCGATTGCACGTTAAATTAATTAATAATTTTCGATCTTTATTTATTGTCCAATTATATTTAATTTCAATTATATCAATACTTAGTCTTTATTTATAACAACAGCATACCGATCCTGATTATTCTTGCGTGTACGTAACGATTAAAACAAATACCGGGCACGAAGGATATGGTCTTACGTTCACCTTGGGAAGAGGAACTGAAATCGGTATTACAATATACATATATTGAGATGTGTGTGTGTGTGTGTGTGTGTGTGTGTGTGTGTGTACATTAATAATATTTTAAATACATACGCTTTTACTTAAACAATAATTTCGACAGTTATGCAAGCATGTAAGTCTCTAGCCACGATTGTAAAACTTCGAAAATTAGAATGGATTTACAATGATTTTGCGAAATTTTGGAGACGTTTAACGAGTGACTCGCAATTGAGATGGGTAATGTATAATAAAAACACAGTAATTAAAATATGAAGATTATCGAGATATAATCGAGATATTTTAGATCGGCCCGGAGAAAGGCGTGATACATCTAGCTACAGCGGCTATTATAAATGCACTATGGGATTTATGGGCCCGTATTGAGAAAAAACCTATCTGGAAACTTCTTTCGGACATGACACCCAAGGAGCTCATATCTGTTATAGATTTCAGATACATGTAAGCCAAAATTTTCTGTAAACCGAAGTATAGAGTGACATTTACTCTCATGATAAATTCTGTGTATACTCGTATATTTCTATACAGTAGAGACATAGTAGATGAGCATAACGCGAGAATAATACTCGAGGAGAAAATGGAACATAAGCAGAAGCAAGAAGAGAAATTGTTGAAGAATGGATATCCCGCATACACCACTCAGGTCGGATGGCTGGGCTATAGTGATCAGCAGCTTGAGGATCTTTGTAAAAAATTTCTCGACCTTGGTTATACAGCATTTAAGATTAAAGTAGGCAATAATCTGCAAGATGATATTAGAAGATGCGAAGTGATACGCAAAGCGATCGGCTACAAAAACAAATTGATGCTGGACGCGAATCAGGTGTGGGATGTGAACGAAGCGATCGAGTGGATGCAGAAACTGGCACAATTTAAACCTACTTGGATAGAGGAGCCGACGTCTCCCGACGATGTTAATGGACATGCTGAGATACTGAAGAAGTTAAAGCCGTATGGTATTGGAGTGGCAACTGGCGAAATGTGTGCAAATCGCGTTATGTTCAAGCAGTTTCTGAGATACCACGCAATCAGTTATTGTCAGGTTGATTCGGCAAGGATTGGTGGGATTAACGAGATCCTGGCTGTTTATTTGATGGCATACATAACTAAAAGTAAGTATATTATAACCAATAAATTAAATCTTTAGACTTGGTTAAGATTAGAGAGAGTAGATAAGTTTCAGATCTCAATCTTTATTTCTTCAACATTTCAAGGAACTAATTCTTAACGAATCTATAATTGATTTTTACTCGTTAAAGGAAAACAGAATGTAAGATGGAAATTTTTATTTACAGCACCAGTTTGTCCGCATGCTGGTGGAATAGGTTTGTGCGAGATGGTTCAGCATCTCCAAATGTGGGACTATATTTGCTTAAGTCAGACCACTGAAAATCGAGTGATTGAATTTGTGGATCAACAGCACGAACACTTTGAGAATCCTGTTCAAATTAAAAACGCATGTTACATGCCACCTACGAGTCCCGGATACTCGACTAAACTTAAGAAAGAGAGCATCATAGAGTATGCTTATCCAGAGGGTAATTATTGGAGAAACAAGATTACTGAAGAAAAAGAAGTTGAGGAAAAACATGATTAAACGTTTTTACGAAAAATTTATATGTATCAATAATTTGTTTTATAAAAATTTATATAATACTGCTTATGCATTTTTAAGTATAATAAAATATATACACATATATTAAGATTAACCAATTAAATGCAACAATAAAAAAAAAAAATATATATATATATATACATACATTATGCAAGATACATGTATATAAGATATATATGATTTAATGTAATACGAAACTGTAATATTATCTCTCTTAATCCTCAATAAACATATAATAATAATTGTTATATTTAATATATAATAAATATTTTTACCCGCAATCACCATCCAACGTTCCGTGATAAATTGCACAAAATTTTAATATCTAATTCACCAAGAAGGCAAATAACAAAGTAAAACTATAATGTTCTATTTTTACTATTTTCTAAGCGAGATTTCACATAGTCTGTCTGCAAAAAAAGAATAGTAATACGTATTACAAAAATTTATCTTTCACAGTATTTATCTAATAAGCTTTATAATTTTTATACTTACGCTCACAAACCAATAGTTATTGGGATTGGGAAACATCAGCTTTCTTATGCCACTCATTTTCTCTATTGGCGAAATAACATGTAAATGTAAATGATGAACGGTATTAAATGGTGGCCAATGAAACCCTGTTCGCGTGGATGCAGGATCAAGATTCATCTTTTCGGAGATAATGTCTACTGTAGCAACAATCTTGTTGACTGAAATTCAGATGTAATCAAAGAATAACAGAAAGATCAATAATCAATTGCCAAATTGGAAAAAACATATATTAGAACAGGAATAAAGCTTGCAGCACAAGAATCTTTTTTAAATTAATTACTAGCTTCAAGATTACTAGCTGGAATTGTGTGCTTACTGTCATGTTGGCAGCGACATTGGTAGTGCTATTGGCCGTGTTGCTAATTTGAATGACTTTAGACGGTGCGAGTTTTCATGCTAACTGAGCAGCTATTTTGTATGACAGAAGATATTTATCCAAATAAACAAACATAGAATGGTATTCATAATTTGTTAATTCTTATTTTAAGACCATCTTAAGTAATGTTATAAGATGCTAATATATAGCCCTCTGATTAGCTTATGACAGCTTAGTTCTGTGTGCATCATTGTTTTTCACTATCGCCGTCTGCACTGTGGGTCTCTCTTTGATGTCAGTATCAATTTTCTTCTACTAAAACAGTTGTAAAAAAACTTTTTTTATTGTTTTACATCTCTATTTTATATTCTAAATGTTTTTTTTTACGTAACAAAATACAGAGAGAAACTTTCATTGTTCCTTGAAAGATCCATAGTGCACTTAAAGAGTTAAAAGTGTACTTAAAATAATCTCAAATATAAGAATTGACAAAAAACATTAGCCATAGAGTAGTTGCTACTATGGTATATTGTCGTAAAAGTATAAAGTGCTGGCCCTTAATTACAAAGAGAATATTTTGATCATATGACCTAAAACTGCACATTGATTGACTTTCATAATGAGCCAGCACAAAATCATGCAAAAAAAAAATAATACTTGGCCTATAACAGGAAAATCTAACAGACCAATTAGCAGCATAGCCAGCAGGCCATACAATTTCCAGCATAGCAAGAATACATTAAGAGAGATAAATCTGTGATACTTACAAAGTTCAGAATCTTCAGGTTGAAGTGTTTTTGCATTGCGTATATGTTTATTCGGTATTATCAAATAATGATGTGTAGACACTGGATTAATGTCTTTAATGCATGTGACATCCTCATCCTAGTCAAAAAATATATGTTTAAAAAATTTATGCACGTTATATACACTTGCACATTTATACATATATTAGATACATTTAGATGCATATGTACAAATTTTATCTGTCAAATACAAATAATTTGGAGGTTAGTCTAGTACCTCGTAAATTTTTTCACCAGATTCCTCGTTTCTAATAATTTTACAAAAGATACAATTTGGCAGTTGCTGCATTTGAGCCATTGAGATTTAATTAATTTCGACGATAATTAATTTAACGATACCTAATGACAACTTATCCTGGAAGCCCAAGCACTTACTTTAGAGTAACCACAAAAATGCCCCCCGCGCACTACTGCTCTCTGAAGAAGTGGATGTAAACTACACAGCAATATCTATTTTTTTTTCAGTGCTCCTGTTGGAAATAAATCGCCAAAATCGTTGAAATTTTTATTAATTTGATAGATTTATTTCAGCGATTTTAACGATTTACTTTCAGGAACACCTGATTTATTATCATAAGAAGTATATACAATGTTATAAATACAACTTTACATATACTTTCTAAAGATGAAAATATACGTAAAAATCGTTTAATAATTTTTATACACTTGTAAAAGTGATGAAAATTAATCCAGAACACGAATGATCCAATATGTATAGTAAGGGTATCCAAAACTAAAGAGTGTATTAAGGGTTAAATAAAGTTATATATTTTAAATAAAAAACATAAAAAAATTATTTTGTATTTACTATTTTAAATAACTACACTTCTGACTTATTTCTTATTTAGTGTTTTAAATAATTAAGTTTTCCAAATATGTTTAAAATTTTTTATTTTTTATTTTAAATAAATATCAGTTTTTTATCGATTCCTACGATTTTCTACTTTAAATAAACTTCTGAAACTTATATTATATTTTTTATTTTAAGTAAGTCGTAACAGTTATTTTATCGAACCATGATCGGCATTATACGTAAGAGTTTAAAGAATTTTTGAAAGAGAGAATAATTTATTGCAGCAATAGTAGTGTCATAAATTAATTTTTTAGCTGAAAAATTAAATTACTCGTATGATTAATAAGATATTTAATACTTTTAATCAAAGCTGAGGGTAAATTGTTTCGCAAATTATTAAGAAAAATTGCACGTATCTTTATATAAAAGATGTATAAAATATTATCAACTTTTGTTAAGTATAAATCATTTAAAAGTATAATGAAAATTGAGACATAATGTACCGTTGGAACATCAAAAATATTTCAGACGCGAATAGTTACCAATAACGTTTAAAGGATTAAACTAGTGATGCCAAAGCGCGAAATGTACAATACCCATTTGTTAAAATTATGTAAAATATGAATAATTAAATAAATATGTGAATATTTTTTAACGCAATAGTTGGGTAGTCAAACGGCGTGAAGTGAACGGCGAGAGGAAGGGGAGGCACGCTCCCGCTCGGTTTTCCCGCGCGAACAGCGAGGAGTGGGGGAAATTGCCGGGCGACGCGGTTGTTAGCTACCACTTCGGCATTCGCTCGACGATTTTACAGGGAAATTGACGTGCTACGAATCGCTCCGGATGTCGCATTAATCCACGACGGATGATATATCT